TGGAGGCCATCGCTAGTAGGGTGGAGGCCATCGCTAGTAGGGTGGAGGCCATCGCTAGTAGGGTGGAGACCATCGCTATTAGGGTGGGTATCGCGTAGGGTGGTGGCTAGTAAGGTGGAGCCCATGGCTAGTAGGGTGGAGGCCACTGCTATTGGGTTCGAGGCCATTGCTATTAGAAACAAAGAAAAGAGAAAAGGAAGAACGCCCAATATAGTTTGCTATTATGAAAAAACGTTTGGAGTGCTTGATTTCTCACTCACAGGTACATTGAGTTTGAGCTTTTGGCTCAGCTTGGTGATCTGGCAAAGCAGTCGCCCCTGGCCATTGTCGCAGGCCTGACCATCAGACAAGTGGAGGGACGTGAACAAGATTGAACAAGCCGACTGCTTGCCCTTTGCCTTTCGGTAGACGCTTGTAGACTGTGTAGGTCATATTGTGCTTGGCTGTTGCACACGCCCATTAAGCTGCGTGATGTTTCATTGCTGTCAAAAGCTTCACACTTACCCACAAGTATCGTCCCAGTTTACCCCGCATTGAGGTTGAACTTCTTCCTTTCCTTTTTTGTCTCCTTTCGTTTTTCTTTGGACCTTTAGACTTTGGAGCTTTCCTTGTTCCTTTTTCAATCCATCCATCCATCCATCCATCCATCCATCCATCCATCCATTCATCCATGTCGTTCTTCTTCTCACTGGAGCAGTTGAACCTTTGTTTGTGTTGAAACTAATTCTTCAAGAAGAGGTTGTTCCAATGACAGTTTTTATCCACGACTTCGGGCTGGATCGCTCTCAGTGGGTTGCCCACGTATGCAACCTACGGACTGCAGCATTTCTTGGCCAGAAACAGTTGAGAAGGGTTCGTTTCCATCAATATCGAATGTGTTGACAATGTTCTTCAAGGAAGCTTCCAAGTTTTCAAAAAAGAATCACCCCCTTACCTACCTCAGTTCAGCTAACCCCTTACTGACATATTGTTCCTATACGAAACCCAACCTCCTCCACAGCCTCCGCACGGCCCAGCCTCCACAAGCGGTGTTGGGAGGTCCTGTACGCGTGAACACTGACACGGAGTTGAGGGAGTTCATGCGTATTGACATGGGGAGGCACAGAGGGCGCAGTGTTCCGTGGTCGTCGTAGTGGGAGGAGTAGGAGGAGGAGTAGCAGTAGCAGTAGCAGTAGCAGTGGCAGTGGCAGTAGCAGCAGCAGTAGCAGTGGTGGTGGTGGTAGTAGTGGTAGTAGCAGTGGTAGTGGTAGTGGTAGTTGTAGTGGTGGTGTTGTTGTTGTTGGTGGTGGTGGTAGTAGTAGTAGTAGTAGTCGTAGTGGTAGTCGCAGTAGCAGTAGCAGTAGAAGTAGAAGTAGTAGGAGTAGGAGTAGTAGGAGTAGTAGGAGTAGTAGTAGTAGTAGTGGTGGTAGTAGTGGTAGTAGTAGTGGTAGTAGTAGTGGTAGTAGTAGTAGTAGTGGTTGTAGGTTGTAGGTTGTAGGTTGTAGGTAGTAGGTAGTAGGTGGTAGGTGGTAGGTGGAAGGTGGTAGGTGGTAGGTGGTAGGTGGTAGGTGGTAGGTGGTAGGTG